ATGCCAAACCTTTCAAATTTTTGAGTGTGACAAATTTTAATTCATGTGAACTTTATCTTTAATCTTTTAAGTAATACTTTTGCATTTTTTTTTAATAAATTCGAATGACCAGCCATTTTAACTATATTGTTCTTCATTTTTTCATTTAATTAAACTGATTATTAAAAAATCATAAAATATTTGTAGTTTGTGATGTTAGTTAAATGAAATGAACGGAGAAAATTAAAGTATTTTCACTTTTCGAATAAAGCTCTTTCAAGAAAGGTAGGTAAAGATTTAATTACACGAACAAAGAGGCTATAATGCTCTTTCAAGAAAGGTAGAAAAGATTTGTTCCCGAATATATTCCGACTTTTTTAGGGCATTTTGGCATCCTTCGTGGTTGAAGCCATACATAATCTTATATATTTAAACTTTTTATTTATAAAAATAGTCAAAGAAAAATAAAACATTAAAAGACAGAGTGAAGACGTGAATTATCTAAATAGATTTAGAAGAGTCAAGTCAGCAGGTCTAGACGTTTGTTCTCACATCAATAAGATTCACGCACAATATTAGGTATAAACTAACGATATGATAGAGTGGTCCTTTTGGACTCCCTACAAAATGTGGTCCTTCTTAGCTTTGCAACACCTATGGATCTAAGTGATAACTTGTAACGCCTCATACCCAGGATTTGGATCAAAATTTAGAATATGGATTCGACACTCGATGACTCTGACATTTTCCTACAACCTCTGTGACATGGTCAGATTACCTATTCTTGTTTCTTAAGAGTGAAGATTATTCCCACATACCCACACGAGCCTTTCCAACATGTTTTGTCCTCACTCACATGCATCACAATCCCTATGAGGTCACCCAACATAGAATTTCTCAAAGTAAAACACGTTTACCAATGAAGTTTTTATGATTGAGCCACCGAGAAAGAATGTGCATCTTACTCTCATTCGGACGTGATCTTCATTCGTTCATATACTTTTTCTTTACTTGAGTGTCGCATAATTCAAACACGTCTGAATATGTTGAACATGACAACACACCGTGTGAGATTTCTATGCAAGTCATCATCACAAATTGACTCGTCTCTCCATTGGATCCGACGTGGCAAAGGTCCCTTACGTGTCCTTATTTGACTCTCTAACTCTAAGAGGACCTTTATTAACCTCCTTTTTCTTTTGTTAAATCACTTCATCATCATAGGTTTGATTTAATTTTTAATTTAGTCACCACAATCATAAATATTTTGTTTTTGTCCTAACAATTCAGTTAAACATTTGGTTGTAAGTCATTGTTTATCTCACACTTATATTTTACCATTTTGACCTTAAACACGAACCTTATTATAACATCTAAAATACTAATAAATTGTCAGTAATTTCGTTTATATTATTAATCTTTAACACTCGTGACTTAAAAAATAATAAATATATAATATATTATAAAAATATTATTCAATTCGAGCCTGATTCAAGAACAATTAACACGTATTTATTCGAGATTCAAAATTTCATAAATAAACAAATAAATAATATATAAATATAGGAATAATAAAAGAATATTATTCCTAGATCCAAATTCCGAACTCACATGGGGAAGAAAAAAGTGCTTTATTTTAAAAAAAGAAAAGTGAGTGGAAATAATCCAAATTAGAGCGGTCCCAGTTTAAGTTTGATTGCACATTGAAATTTAAAATACTATTTTATATTTTATTCGAGTAATTACTTTTAATGATCGTCACCTTTTTCAACGCAACACGTCGCTCGTTTATGTACACCTAGCCCATTAATTTATTGACATTATTTAACTTTTCTTAAAATATTAATATCATTCCACTTAACTCGTTATACTAAAAAAAAAATATTCAATTAACTTACCTAAGGTTGTTAATATATTAATGAATATATGGTTGAAAATTAAGTCCAACCAAAGTTATGGTCATGTTTTTTTTGGTTTAAATTTCTAAGAAAGGTTGTGGTTGTACTTAAATATTACATTATAAAAATTTAAATGATTTTGAATAATCTCAAAAAAAAAGAAAGAAAAAAAAAGCACATATCAATTAATGTCGTGGTAATGCATTTTAAATTTACGTTTTAAGTCATAATAAGATCCTTTGTTTTCTATATTTCTATTTAGATTGAAAAAGGTGAATTTGGATCGATAGCTTTTTTTTTTTACTTTTAGATAAGACAAAATGTTTCATGAAAAGATATAAGAGGAAAAAAATTAAAGTTTTTGTCATAATTTAGTGCAACTTATTGCTAGTTTAAATTAATCAAGATATCCGTAGTTAATATTTGAAAAATATATTAGTTATAGAATATATCTTAAATATTCGTATCGGATGAGTAGTATATTTTATTTTATTGTCAAAGTTTAATTAGTTTATATTCGTAGATATTAGTTAGTAGCTTGTATCCTATTTTATTGTCAATGTCTTCGATTCCAATTTTATTTCTTATTCTTAACTTATATTATTTTGAGAACTATTCAAACTTTTGAGTGATATATACAGTGTCTGTATCAGAAAAGAAAAAGAAAAAGACAGGAATAGTAAAAAGGTGAGTGTATGTGAGAAGTTGGTGGAAAAGGGGAAAAGTGCAATTTTATTCGATTCGATGGGCATCTTAGAAAATGAGAGCCCAAACTCCAGTGTCTTCTTCTTCTTCTTTATTTATTATTATTATTATTATTTACATTTATTTAAAAAAAAAAAAACTTAAAAAGAAATTGAAAGAAAGAGCTGAAATATTTGATATTTAAGTCGGCGAAATTAAACCCTGGTCTCCTGTTCTGGATAACCCTCACTCGGTGGTTCTGCCTGCAAACGAATGAGTGAATGTGAAATGTCACACAATCCCTTTCCTTTGCCCTCCATATACACTAATATTTCCTTAAAAAATATCACTTTTTCATATTTACTCTTTTTTTTTTGCATTACTTACTCTCTCTTTCATCTTTATCCATCAATATCTATATATATGGATATACTTTGAAATTTTTGTGACAAGCAATTGGAGATGGCTGATCAACAAAATGTAATGTCTCCCACTTGTTGCGAGTTCGTGTAACAAGTCTATCTGTAACTCTCTTGTCTACTCATTGTCTCTATCTTATTTATGTCTCATTTTTCCTTAATTGCACACGTTATAGGGTGTGTTTGATGATCCATCGTCCTCCTGATTATTTCATTATTCTATTTAGCTCTTGTGTGGCTGAATGAGCGTCTTTGAAGTGTTGCAACTTTGTTTGTCTCAATTTGAGGGTCACAACCTACTCTCTTTATATTATGGTTGTGACATTCTCCTTCACTTAAATTAGTCATCATACTCTATAACTTTTTCGAGACACAATTACATCATGGATTGTGATATTCGAACATGATTTTAGATTTGTATATATACGGCCATAATTAATAAATTGATCTATTACCATGAATATAGTTCATCTAATAAAATATCTTTCTAATGTAGTTTTAATTTTTATTCTCATTTTTTCGATAAAAAAATGTCAATCTAAGACACGAATTCTCGTATTAATACTGAAAGTCGTTTGAAATTATGTAATGTTAATTTTTATAAGAATATTGATTAAATGGGCATTGTTTATTTCCTTTTAATATTCAAATAAATTATTTAATTGATGGGTAGCTAAACCCTAAATAATTAGGGTTTGAAGAGTATAATCAAAATATATCACCACAGGTCAGATTTTATATAGTTTTATTATCAAATAGTTAGTTATAATTTAAGATATTTCAAATTTTTGTATGAATTGATTATTCTCTAGAATAGCTTTATCCATCTCTATCACGACAACAAAATTAAAAAAAGAACAAAGCAAACAAATATTATAAGATAATGTTGAATACAACTTGACACCATCAATTTATTTTGTGAGAATTTAAGATTTTTATGAAATAGACATTTCCATTTGTATGATATTTTAGTAATTTAAGATATGGGAAACATAACAAAAATAAAATAACGTACTTATGTACTAATAAATGATGGTATATAATTACCTATATTTATATTTTACATCTTGACATAACATATATATATATATATATTGCATAATTTCATGTTAACTAAATGTATTTGGTTTTTAGTAAATTTCTATTTATTTATTTGTAATTTCTAAGATAATAAATAATTTTCTTTTAAAGAACTCTAATTTGAGAATGTGATCTATATAATTTATTAAAAATATTCTGTTAGATTTCTATGTTTCTATTATATATGATTTGAAATTTGGGTTATTATATTAACAATAAATAAATGGCCCTAGATTATGGTAGGAGTCATTTTTTTATTAGTTGTTTTTATTTACGATGTTTGTTGGGCCTCTGCCTGGAAATTATTAAAAGCCCATTGGACTTCGGAAAGTCTGGCCCGCAAACTACTTGTTGGGCTGTTTCACGATATTTGTTGGGCTTCTGCCTGGAAATTAATATGAGCCCATTGGACTACGGGAAGTCTGGCCTGTAAACTACTCGTTGGGCTATTTCACGGTGTTTGTTGGGCTTCTGCCTGGAGATTAATATGAGCCCATTGGACTACGGGAAGTCTGGCCTGTAAATAATTGCTACTTGTTCTTTAAGTTAAAATTAAAATTAAAGCTCTATTATATAACTATTTTACTTTCTTTTTTTAATTTCTAAAGTTAAGTATATAAATACTCTTTATATATATATATATATATATATATATATATATATATATATATATATATAATTTTCTTATTTTTATTTTTTTAAACAAGTTAAGTTTTGAGAAAACTCAAAATAAAAATAAAAAAGTTAATTACGAAATTTGAATAAATAACATTCTTTCTAGTTGGTCGAGTCATATAATTAATAAATACTACGTGTCAAAGTTAATTACCAAAACATTTCATCATTTTGACCGTTAATGGAATTGCCTTATGAATAATAATTAAATACTTTCATTATTATTGGATAAAATTCCAACTATCTGATCGACTCTGCTGCAGCCGCGTCAAGATGAAGAACAATCCACTTAATCATGAAAACAACTACTGGAGTCCAGTCAACCTCGATCCTGGCCGTTGATTTGAAATGGATGTAACATTTTTTGTATTTATTAATCATCTGGAAAATATCACAGGAGTTTGACGAAGCGACGAAATTTATGTTCAAATCAACTACTGGAGCAAAGGATTGTTGAGGAAATGGTGTTTTCCGAGCGGTCAACTTTATCCAAGCCTATCGCTTCCAACTCCATTTATCTATGGTACATCGCCTTCTCTCTCGACGATTCTTTGTTGTTGCTATTGGCTATTGCCTTGCGATTCGTTGTTTTTCGCTCGATTGTTAGCTTCGCCGCCGATGGGATTCTTCCTGCTGTTATTCTGATCGGAGCTTCATTTGGTTGGCCTCTGAGTGTTGGCGATTCGTGAAGTGAGTTTAGATCGTTTCTCCGAGTTCCGGTAAGTTTTGGTGCTGTTGAACTAGGGCAATTTGGGAGTGACTTTGGAAAATTGTTGCTATTCGTCTCAGCTCTGGTGATCGGGATGGAATAAATTGATTAAATAGTCTTGATCGCTTTCTTAGGGTTTGATTTCCAAAGATGGCTGATCTTCTTGTTATGTCATCAATAATAGCGGCCGTCATGGGCGTGTTGCTGGCCCTATCGCCAAGAGTATATGCTCATGAGTTTATGATGGAATCAGGGGTTTCAAGTGCTCATCAGATTCCTTACTCGGTTTCGGATGGAATCAGGGGTTTCAAATGCAACTTTTTTGCAGGTGATATTTCAGTTAAAACATCAAGGAAACTGTTAAGGGAAGAAAGGGAGGAGGAATACACTAACCTTAAAGATGGTGATTATCCTCATCGTAGAGAAAAACAGGATGGGAAATCTTTGGCAACCCCCCAAAATATTGGAATGGTAGTAACTGGAACATTCGTTTTATGTTTTGGTGTTCTCTGTCCTTGTTTTTATCGAAAGAGGAGACGCACAGTTCAAAGAGGCATTGAAATAGAACAACCATCAGGTGAGTCATTGGTTCTATATGAATTTCTTGCCGTTTATGATGATAGGAGTATTGTTAGTTAAAGATTCTACCTTACCTTGTGAGATTCTACATCGGTTGGAGAGGAGAACGAAGCATTCCTCATAAGGGTGTAGAAACCTCTCCCTAGCATATGCATTTAGAAACTTTAAGGGAAAACCTAGAAGGAAAGGTCCAAAAAGGACAATATTTGCTAGGGAGTGGATTGTGAGATCCCACATCGGCGGGAGAGGGGAACGAAGCATTCCTTACAAGAGTGTGAAAACCTCTCCCTAGCATACGCGTTTTCTAAATTTTGAAGGGAAAGCCTAAAAAGGACAATATCTGGTAGCGGTGGGCTTGAGCTGTTACAAATGGTATTAGAGCCGAACACCAGGAGGTGTGCCAGCGATCACGCTGGCCCCCAAGAGGGGTGGATTGTGAGATCCCACATCGATTGGAGAGGGGAACAAAGAATTCCTTATAAGGGTGTAGAAACCTCTCCCTAAGATACCGGTTTTGAAACTTTGAGGGGAAACTTAAAAGGACAAGCTTTGGGCTGTTACAAATAGTATCCGAGCCAAACACTGGGAGGTCTGCCAGCAAGGACGTTAGGCCCCCCAAGGGGGTAGATTGTGAGATCCCACATCGGTTGGAAACGGGAACGAAGTATTCCTTATAAAGGTGTGGAAACCGCCCTAGCATACGCACGGGGAAATCGAGAAGAGGAACATTTTTATTTACTCTTCAGTCACTCATTCTTCTTCTCTACATGTCAATGAATGCAGTATGTTTAAATTGTGCATTTTGTGTCCTTTTTTGACAAAGGCACTGCCCTTCCTTGACATTACCTGGTGAGCGTCAAATGTTCTTGAAATTGAGTTATAAATTCTTTCTTGCAGTTCATTCAGCCTCCATTGAAGTGATGAACCCTGCTCCTGAAAAGGTTCCAGCCAGTCCACTTCGAGTACCACCTAGTCCTAGATATTCCCCATCTCCCAGATTCAAACGGCTTGGATCTGTACATCTCAACATGAGCCAAGTAGCTAGAGCAACTCAAGATTTCTCCCCAGCTCTGCGCATAGGCGAAGGAGGTTTTGGAACTGTCTACAAAGCACAACTAGAAAATGGGCATGTAGTTGCCATAAAACGTTCGAAAAAGGCAAGTACCAAATTTTTATGCTATTTTTGTGATGATAGGATATGTAAAATCCCAAATTCTATGTAAAATCTCAAGCCCTTGTTTCTGAGAACAGTAACAGCATCTCTAACACAATTATTTTGCAGGAACTGTTCGAGAATTCACGAACTGACTTTAGCAGTGAAGTAGAATTACTGTCCAAAATTGATCATCGGAGTCTGGTTAAGCTGCTAGGCCATGTTGATCATGGAAATGAGCGCATTATCATTACGGAATATGTAGGAAATGGTACTCTTAGAGAACACTTGGATGGTAATGTTTCTACCCTATGGAAGACCAAAAATTAAACTGTTGTTTAACTCTGATGGCTTCTTTAAGGCTCATGACTGCGCTTTTATCATTGTAGGCGTGCATGGAAAAATATTGGATTTTAATCAGAGACTTGAAATTGCCATTGACATTGCTCATGGACTAACTTACCTCCACATGTATGCAGGTTAGAATCTTTTTCATTAGTCGGCTTATAAATGTCAGTCATTTTTTTGATATCAGGAAGGGCCAACTTTGAAAGTGGACATAATTACTAACGCAGCACATCCATTTGATTGTGTGTATATTTTAACATCTATTGAAGAGTTTGTTTAATTAGCAATTATTTTATGTCCCAAATAATATTTATTTTAAAAAAATTCTTTTAAGAGAAGATTTTTGTGGATCTGCAATTACTGCTCAAAGTCCTTGGTAAGAATATTATTTTTACAACCGTTAGTGTGGAGCCAACTTGCACACTCCTCAATTATCTCTAATGGCCTAATCCCATTGCTAGCAGATATTGTCCTCTTTGGGCTTTTCCTTCTGGGCTTCCCCTTAAGGTTTTAAAATCCGCCCGGAAGAGGCTTCCACACCCTTATAAACAATGTTTTGTTCTCCTCCCTAACCAATGTGGGATCTCACAATCCACTCCCCTTCAGGGTCCAGCGTTCTTGTTGATACTCGTTCCCTTCTTCAATCGATGTGAGACCCCCCAATCCACCACCTTTGGGGCCCAGTGTCCTTACTGGCATACCGCCTCGTGTCCACCCCCCTTCGAGACTCAGCCTCCTCGTTGGCACGTCGCCCCGTGTCTGGCTTTGGTACCATTTATAATGACTCAAGCCCACCCAAATATTGTCCTCTTTGGGTTTTTCCTTCCAGACTTCCCCTCAAGGTTTTAAACGCGTATGCTAGGGAGAGATTTCTACAGTCTTATAAAGAATGTTTCGTTCTCCTCCCAACCGATGTGAGATCTCACACTATCTATGTTTCGTTCTCCTCCCAACCGATGTGAGATCTCACACTCATGACAACCACCTGACCTGACCCTACCAAGAGAACTTTTAGGTCATTAAATCCTAGTTTGGTGGCTACCATGGCTTGAAAACTTTTATTATTACCTTATTGACCACTAGTCCCAAGCTTTGTTTAGGGTTATCTTATTGGATATTTTCTGCTGTCCAGCCAGTTAACCTTTTTTTTCTTGTTGACAATAGAGAAGCAAATTATTCACAGAGATGTTAAGTCTACCAACATTCTTCTTACCGAAAACATGAGAGCAAAGGTGGCGGATTTTGGATTTGCAAGGCTTGGAACATTGAGTACAGATCAAACGCACATTTCAACTCAGGTGAAAGGAACTGTTGGTTACCTTGACCCAGAGTATATGAAGACTTATCAACTTACTACCAAGAGTGATGTCTACTCGTTTGGGATTTTACTCGTAGAAATTCTAACAGGACGCCGTCCATTGGAAGTTAAGAGGCCTCCTGATGAGCGGGTCACAATAAGATGGGTGAGTTAAACATTCTAATCATTTTCTTAAGAAACCTTTCAAGTTTCGAATGCACTTTTTACTCATCGTTTCTGAAATCGCTTCTTGTTTTACCTTGATTCGTTGCAGGCTTTCAACAAGTATAGTGAAAACAAAATTCTGGAAACCTTAGATCCTTCAATGGAGGAAACTGTTGACGCAGAGATTGTCATCAAAATGTTCAAATTGGCAATCCAATGTGCAGCACCGGTACGAGCGGAACGACCAGACATGAAATTTGTTGGGGAGCAGCTGTGGTCAATAAGAGCAAATTATATGTCACAGAAGAAGGCAAGATTACCTTAAAAAGGTGTATTGTGTTGGAAACCCCCAGAGGTGACCCACTGTGATTTCATCAATTTACCATGTCATTTAGAAGTTCACCTCACTTCTTCAGAGTCTTTCCACCTTTGATGCTTTACTTAGTTACCCCTGTCATTAGAGTTTTCACCTCCAACAGATATCATTCATCTCTGTTTTAATAGGTGAATCACCTATTAATTTAGAGTTTTTCTTTTCCTTCAACTTCTCTAGAATTGAAGTCAACAACACTTGTGTACCATTGTAAAAAAGGGGGGTTATTCCCAATTTGATGGCAAATGATATTAAAAATTGATATTGCAATTGAAATGGTAAATAATGACAATAATTTTAATTTTGTGTATAGTTGAAATTGGGTCGGAGATATTGTCACCATGTCTTCTTTCAATTTTTACCTTATTGCCATGTTAACTTCCATTCATCATTTCAATTGAGAAATATTGGGAAGTTTCCTTGGGATTACTAAAAGATATTAATAGCCACCGGGCATGGCCTGTTCATCTCAAAAGCTGACCTCTGAAAATATAGGCAAAGCTATCCATAAACTGTTTTAGATCCATCGAAACATTATTACATTCCCAAACTAGTGAACCCATTTGAAAAGCCAGAGATAAGAGCTAAACATCTCAATAAAACAGACGCATATTATAAGTGTACTTCCTCACACAAGCAGTATCAAGCTATTGTACCTCAGGCGCTTAATGGCTAAAATTTCAAGAGGTCATGCTTCATCAATCACCATCTGAATATGTTTCTTCAGTTTTCTCCTTCGATGGTTACGTCCCCTGCACATGCGAACATGTCTTAATTATCAATGGCAAGAGATTTCACAAACTGCATCAAGTTTATATGAGCCGTTTGATTAGATGTAATATGGAATGCGCTTGCGTTATGATTACCGCGTGGTTAAATATGTGCTTGTACCTTTACAGAAAAGCCGAGGGGAATAAGCGGGAGAAAAGACCAGAGGGTAGAAAATTGTTCTCGAGATGGTATGTTTTTCTTTCTAATTTATCTCTTCAGAAAGAGCAAACAACTTTATTTGCTTGGATTCTGAAGAGATGCCTAGTAAAGGGAGATCCAGGAATAGACAAAATCATTTAGTCTAACACATCTCAAATGAAGCAAGAATTGAAATCAATTTTACTTGTAAACTAAAGAGGTGAAGACAATAATATCTTCACTTTTGATCCCCTTCCATTACACACAAGTCGGCAAGTCACTTGCAGAACAATTGCTTTCCTGTTTCTTTACCATTGAAGTTGTAGTTATGATTGATTGGAGATTTTTCTTATATCTGTAACATAGGTTTTTGTTTTTGACTCCTTATGTTGAGGTCTCCTTTTTCCCTAATCCTGTCTCTTTTTCTCGATGAAAACTTGAATGTTTTATGTGGAGCCTTGAATGTTTTAAAAGTGCACTAACCAGTATTGATTGTGTAGTATGAATTCATCTGTTGCCACTTTCTTCCCATCATCATTTCGGTTCCAGTGGTAAAATGCATGAGTCCTATTTTTGATTTCCAAAGTTGAATGCCCATAGCTGGCTTCTCTAAATGCTGAGTACTCTGGTTGTGGATCTTTAAACCTAATACAGATGGACAGACCATAACCCACGTTAGACATATTGAATGTCACAATCTACACCAATGAACGAATTTAGTGAATGCTAATAAATTTTACCTTCCAGCAAGACCTTCCTGGTTACCGCCATCTCCAACTGTGATGTAAACAGGGGCTGATTTGTCTGCTATGGTGTGATGATCACCACTTACATTGTAGTTGACACTTGAGATGCGATACTAAAAATAAGAAGGAAAAAAGGAGGGAAATAAAAATCGAATCCAAATAAGACAACTGTGGTATAAGCATTTATTTAACAAAGCAACAAGGTAAACATAAGCATTTGTCTAACAATGTTGCACACCAGAAAAAATTGTTCCAATCTACGGTAGAAATAACCACCATATGGCTTAAAAAGGAAAGAGCAACATACCGATCGTTCATAAGCATGGACATGACCAGCAAAGACAACATCAACTCTGTACTTCACGAACCAGCTTTCAAATACTGATTGCATACTTTCACCCTCCTGGAAATGTGCTTCATTACTATTGTAGATTGGAACATGCATAAGAACAATCAACCATGGCGTCTTCTCCCGATCAACCCTTCCCAACTCCTCACGAAGCCAGTGCCATTGAGGTGTGTACTTCACTGAAATAAATAATTGTAAAGTTTCTAAAGGGCAAAAACTTGAAAGTCGGTAGCCTTCACAAAAGATTAAAGGAAAAAATAAGATAATACGGGACATAAGCTCATTATCCAAGTGCCTGTCTAAGTGTTCAAATTAGCTAGAAACTAACATGTTAAATTTTCTTTAGTTTACTTTAAAGCTAGACTGAACTACGCATGCCACGGTTACATGAAGGAAAATGGAATCAATCCTCAGTTGCGGTGTTTGAACTGGTTATCTTGTTGGGCACATGACCTTTCAAATGCTAGGGTAGATCTGCAAAGTTTAGCTACTCAACATTCTTAAACAGAAAAACTTGTTGCATGGGAAATGCTTAAACTCGACAGTTCAATAGCTTAATCACGTGGATTTGAGAATGGCATATACTGATGATCATGTCAACTATCCAAATTCGGTCTATGAAGTGAACAACTTTCAAACACCAATTGGAGCTACAATATCATCTACATGCAAAAGACATACAAGAGCAACAATTCCTCCAACAGTTAAAGCTGCCAAAGTTTGACGCTCATTAGACAAAACCAACGTCATTAGATCCATTTTGTAAAGAAGTTGAAGTGATTGGAACTCTCTCCGTGATGTTCTAACCTATCTTTCCAATTTGTCAAATACATGTTTAAAAGCAACAATACTGTCTTGTAAGGGTACAATTATGGGGACCCAAACAACCCCACAACCAAAAAATAAAAAAAATTTAAACGGAAAGAAAGGAAAGAAAAAATTAACTAAAAAACCTCTGGATCTTCAATTCTGGTAGTAATTAGTAATTAAGTGCAAACCTAATGTTGATGTACAAATAAGAAGGAAATGAAAGGAACGAGAACTTCCTACATAAAGAGCAGCAACTATTAAAGAAGTTGACTAGTCGTGCAAAGCAAGAATATGTATATTTAGTATTTACCAAATGGAGAGTAGGCAGATAACACTATAATATGAGCTGATGCCCGCCTGATTGCATACCAAAGAGGACTGCTGCTTTTGGATGCTAAATAAGGTGTCAGATATCGATGAATGTAGGATTTGAAAGGTTCAACTTCACCCTAAAAATAGAAAAAGGAATCATATCAAAGAAAAAAAACATGATAAACATTACAATTAGTTGACTCAATTCTTAATGAAGCTGAGTAAGTCTAAAGTTAATTCCAACACAGAGCCGAGTGAACTTCGAGCATTTAGGAAATTATATAACAACATATGTTCTGAATTAGCAGGACAAAATATTTTCCCCATCTTTCAGGCCAGTAAATCAGAGGCAGATTCAGTATTTAAATTCAGAAGAAAACTTATTTATACAGATTACGTAAATACCATATTACATATCCACATAGAATAATAATGTAGTGTAAAATATTTACGTGTGACGGAAATGTGCAAACAACACTAAACAAGGAAAGTATTGCTAAATAATATAATTACTAAGCTGGAATTGAAATATCATTGTTCAATGATTGAATCAAATTGTTTTAACTTTTACCATGTAAGGCATGTACTCTATTTCATGATTTCCAGCAGACCAAATCCAAGGTTGATATGCTGCACTTTGCTCCGCAAATCGACCCCATGAATCCCATCTTAGACCAACGTCATTAAATTGATACCTGTCAGCATAAGAGAGATCTCCAAGAAACAATACTGTCTGCCCACCACTCTTCATATAATGCTGTAGAGTAGAAAGAGAATTGAATGTCTGGCCCAAATCACCTAGAGCATAAATAGCTAGTTAGTTGAAGCAACAGGTTAAATAAATAATGACGCAAAAGTCTACTAGATGTAATTTTTTTTATTTCCATGAATGTCCATGCAACCTACCTAGTATCTAATATACTACATTATGTTGCAAAAATTTACTGGATGCAAAAGTAGATTGAACAAGATGAAACGTACGTCGAAAAGAGAACCAGCAGACTTGGTAAGTTTAACAAAAGATTTACTTTTCTTCAGGGAAACTGCCGAGGGGGATGGAGCCAAGCACATATCATACAGTATACGAAAGTCACTTTAGAGGAGAAACCACTGATTTTCTAAGCCCCATGTGACATTATTTAGTACCATGACCCTCATTTCTTAATTTAATGGTAAATTTCTGATTATGATTTATAATTTGTCAACAAGATACAACAAACATAAACATGAGAATATTTTGTTAATGATAATCAATCAATTTTGGAAATCAAAAGTAAATACATTCATGTACTTTAATTACAGATATTAAGGTTACCATAGTTTCATCAACTCAGATGTTGAAAAGTTCATCAATCATTCAGTAATAGCTTCTAGAAAACATGATCAATGAAATTTGTTGTGTAATTCTTCGATTATACAACTAATATTCAATTTCATATGGTATCATGTAAAAACATTAAATTACTTAACCCATCTAATTTGAGGTAGACATGAGTACAAGTAAATCATATATAGTTGGACAACTGAAAGAGAAAAGGAAGAAATGTAGAAGAAACAGAAACGGTTCAATAATTAACACTGCACATGTAAGATTAAGTTACAAAAATAAGCTAGAAAACCTACTTCGACATCAGTGCTCCACATAGAAAGAGAACTCTCACCAATTATCCCAAATTTGTAAGAAGCATCAGGATCAATCTTTGGGGGTGTCTGAAACCAGAATTTTCGAGCAGAATCACCACTCCCAATCTTGTAATAATACTTGGTATTGTACTGGATCAAGGGGGAACCATTAAACTCATCAATGGAACATATTTTCAGAGAGATAGAGTGTGTGTCTAGTCAAGAGAGGAAGGAGTTGCAATAATCTTGGAATCAAACATATATATGGCATGTTAAGTTAGCTTTATGGTCCATGTCAAAAAAAGCATGCGTTTGTGTCAAATTTCTGACGAGAAACCATTCCCATCAGTGAGAGGGAGAGCCTAATGAAAGTGAAGATACAAAAAAGAAGTTTGCATATCCGGTAATTTTTAATCTCTGAACTCTCGCATGCAATTACCAGCTAGAAGTTATAAGTAAGATTAATATTTCCATCGATCATAAAACTATATTCAGTTACCTTGAGGTCACCAACATGACAGTGATGAATGTAACCAGACTTGTATTTATAAAAGGTGTAGTTTGTCACTGTTCCCTCTGCAGTGAACTCATAACTTTCGTCTGAAGTACCATAATGGACACTATTGTGCCCTGGATCATCAGGTGTTACCCATGAGACAATAACGGCCTTGCCTTCATAGTCACCCTGGGTGATATGCACCTACACGGAAGTGATGGGGATATCTTTGTTATTCTCCATAAAGTGCCCAGTCCAAAGACGAGTAGCTCCAAAGCAAAATGTAATTGGCACCAAAATCTCAAGAGCTTACCTGTTGAGGGGCATTGTGACCTTTTGGAATAGCAAATACATCATTATCAAGAGGCATATCAATGGATGGCCATTCTGATCGAATGAATGTACTGGTGATCCCTGCATTCCCAAAGCTCAGACAGCTAATAAGTATGCACAAAGCAAGTGCAATTCGAAGAAACAAGCACTCCAGCTTGGAATGTCCCAGCATGATTGATGACTCAATGAACTGCATCAAGACAAAATAATAATAATAATAGTGAATAAATATTTCTTCATGGATTAGAACTTCAACATCTGAAGGATGATTGAAACAGAGCAAAGAAAATTTCAAAATCAGGCCTACATCAAAATTTTAGTATCAAGCTCAAACAACAAGAAAGAAGAAATGAAACCGTGTACACTATCATAGAAAGAGGAGTGAAGTCCGAACTCTCAACCTCGCAAAGAAAGACATCGCTAAAAATAACGATCAAACAGCATAGTTAATCACAAAATTCACATAACAAAAGTCAAATCCTCACAAATCCACAACTCAAAGTTCGCGTCGGAAATCTATTCCCATTTCGCGTCCACCTGTAACATTTCCCCTACTAAGCGGGAGACAGCACACTCTGCATTCTATGGGATGAAATCAAATCCAACGACCAAAAATGGACAAAAATCTCAAAAACTTGTTTCGCTTTGCATGAAAGCCAACACTAACTAACAATTGAAAACCAGTCACCACGTGAATTCCAATCAAATTACACACAGATAATGCATAAACAACAAGTGTCTGAATCGTTTTCCCTCGAATAACGCGAGCGATCGTTCGTGTGCGAGAGACACAGATAATGCATAAACAACAAGTGTCCGAATCGTTTTCCCACGAATAACGTGAGTGATCATTGTGTACGAGAAGTAGTAAAGAACCTGAGAACATTAGCCGGGAAGAGAGCGGGAAAAGATGCAGGGATGAAACGGGATAAGATCGCCCCAACAAGGGAGAAGGTTAGCTAATGGCTAGATTGTCGGGTTGAAGAAAAAGCTCGAAGGTCAGGCTAGCAACGTGGAGGCGTAAATTAGCAGCAAAGAAACCGGTGACGTGGCGTAGAACAACGTCCTCCCTTTCGGAAATGTTCTGTCAAATTAGCTGACAAATCAATTCGCATTAAAGATATGTATAAAAAAATTGAGGTTTAAATAATTCCTGTTATTTTAATTTTTAAAATGTTTATATAAATCTCTAAAATTTATAAAAAATATTTATTTTTGTTGCTATTATTTTGTTAGTTAAAATTCTCTTACTCAATCAGTATAGGTAGGTATGGAGCACACGAGCAGTCCACCTCAGCATTGAGAACCGTGCCCTAAAAACCAACAACCTCACCACCAACTCCGGATTTTGCATCGTTATCTTATAAATTTTTATTAAAGCTATATCCGGTAAAATTATACAATTGGACCGTTATTAAAACTAAAAATTCTAGAAAAGTATGGATAGAAATTCACGAACGTTGTGTGATCAACCCTATGGCCAGCTAATGATTGAAAAGATTAAAGCCCGAGTCTCAATTATAGTAATGGTCAAGTGTAGATTTGATAGCAACAAAGGCAAGGACATGAGAATGACCGTAGGCTCGACAAACTTACTATTTCAACTCAGTGAAGGCGACGTTGATTCCACCCCTTCACTACCAAATAAAGCGAGGTCTCACCGTAGCAAAGAAAAAGAGGAAGCGCACGTGTTACGTAAACCCCATAATAAAGAAATATGAAACACAAGAAGCTTAGTAGCAAGTTGTCCCATAGTCACCATTTGTCTTAACATTCACTACTAACCATCAATTTGCTAAAGTTGAGTTTGTTCAATCTTAGACGATTGTGATACTTTTGTCTATTCTCATTTTATCTAACTTCTTTGTCCGCCAATTCGGGTTTAGACAAGGTTTGCCGAGTCCTCTTCTATTTAACCATCGCTATTCAGTTAGAGAGTAATCTCATGGATCTCTGTCATATTTATTCAGTTTTGTTTAGCATTGGTCTCCTTATAGATCAAATAACATTAGAGCTCTTCATACGGACCCCACTTCCGCCTTTTAAGTCTTGACGGAGGTTTGAGAAATTAAGATCACATTAAACATAAAACTCAAATTTATTTCTATTCTTTTAAATTTCAAATATATCTTAAATTTTTAAAAATTTATTATATTTTTTTAAAGGTTTAAAACTTATTAGGGATTTTTTTTAAAGTTTATAATTAAATCTTAAAAAATTTAAATTATGTGTTATTTAAAGTAAAAATATATATTTGATTTAAGTCTAACTAAACTAATACATTACATCTTCCAAAACAAAAAACTAGACAATCAAATTCTTCACGACCTGACAAATTAGTTAGAATTTTTAAGTTACTATCTTGAATGTTTTGTTAACTCATTTGTTTATTAAATTAAAATTTACCCCTCAAAAAGTTCTTTTTTTATTAAAAAAATAGTTAATGTAGCACATGAACTTATAAAGCAAATATTTTAATTAATACATAAATTTCACCCCTTTTAAACTATATTAAACTTATTTCACCCTCTAAAAATAGGTTCAATTCCCAAATAATAAGATTTGATGTAGAAGCTTGTAAAAAAATTCTTAATGAAAAATAGAATTTTAAGTTTAAAGACCAAATTATATATATATATATATATGTGTGTGTGTACTTTCTAAAACCCCAATAGACAATGCCACGCTGGGTTAAGAGGCATCGTTGGGGTTGACTTTAAGCCACGTGGAGCAAGCATATTCAGAGGGATCTTCTTGCTGTTTTTTTTTTACCTGTCAATTTGCATATTAAAAAATATAATAAAAAACTTGGAAGATATAGTTCATTTTAAATATACTTTCGGACTCAATAAAGGTCCTATTCTTATTTATATATTTATAAATTTTTCTTTAATTAACTAACACGTGATTTTACCAATATTCAACAAATTTAATATCAAACCGAACACAAACATAAAGATTAAAATCAATTTTATAACTAACCAAAGTCTTTAAATTAAAATCATCTTTCAAATTTAAAAAGTCAAAAGTGTATAGTTTTACCTATTCAACTTATTGCATTGAAATAATTTCGACTTTTATGTAGAGATGATGAGCGGAATGGTTGGTGAAGAATTTGGTTGTTTGCATTATTAACATAATGCGACAATAATTCCCCATCCAATTTTATTATGACCAAATTCCTCCGAAACAAAACATCATAACAAGAAAAATACTAATATTTTTTCTTTTTCTTTTTTTCCCTTTTTTTTTTAACACTATAAAAATAGATAGTTAACCAATTAAATTTATATACTTTAAAAATGCTAAATATATATAGTATTGACGATTAATTATTAATCAGGTCATTCATTTTTAAATTTCCATTTAAAAATTTAATTTACTAACTTATTATTAGACACAAGTAAAAAAATTTGAAATTTAGCCAATAATATGATAAAAGAAATAAGTTACAAAATTACATTTACTAAATAGTCTGAGACTTAAAATTTTCGAATAAAAATGATGTTTAATCTAAAATTGTCCGAGACGACTTCAACTCTAATAAACATATATTATTTTTTTTTATTTGAACAAGTTTGAAAATATATTATTACGAACAAAAAGAAAAAATGGGAGCTGAACTCCTCGGCTTTCTTCTAACTGTAGTTTGCTTGTTTGGATTGTATGTAAAGGAGATCGTTCTGTCTCGAAGAATCCGCGTCCAGAATTAGAACTTGAAGGAGCGGTGCCATGGACGATTCTTCTAACAAGGACGATAGCCCGCGAGTTCTTCGAGTTCTTGAAGCTCTCAAACAGGCTTCTCATGAGTTACAGGCAAATCCAAGTCCTCGATCCGAGGACTTCAATTCGCCCACCATTAAAGCTCTGCTCGAGCTCGAGGTTGAATCCGAAAAAATCCTTTCAAGTGATCCAAACCTTTCGATTCTTTCTCAGCACCTTGCGAACCTAAAAACCTTGGTGGAGACGCTTCAGAAGTCCAGAGGTTACAGCCTCAGGTCGTTCTTAACGCGCCGTTTCGCGACAAATTCGGTATCTCAAGTCGCCGGTTCAATTGAGTCGGAGATTCAAGCTTGGATTGATCGCGAGAGCTTGGAGACTCTGGTTCGAGCTCTTAAAGAGCCATCAATCGACGAAAATGAATCGATTAAGCTACTGATTCAGTTCGAGAATCGTCTCGCTCAGGGGTTCAATCGCGAGCTACAGGATCTCATGCTAAAATCAAAGGTGTTTTCGCTGCTCGAATTGATTGTTTGTAACCCTAACTACTCGAAAACGATCCGGGAGCATTCGGCGTACGCGATTGGGGCTATGGTCCGTTTCAACAAAGACGTATTCGTTGGTCAAGTACTAATAGGACCGACGATTCACGCCCTAGTTCAAATGGCTTCCTCTCACTCATTAAAAGTTCTCTGTTCCTTAATCAGATTAGTTAGGTCTCCGCTGGTCGAGGAGATCCAGTCAAACGGCGATATACCAAAAATAATAAGCTCATTGAATTGCCAAGACCTGCAAATTAGGGTTTTAGCTATGGATTGCATCGTTGAAATCGGCTATTTCGGCCGCAAAGAGGCTGTAGATACTATGCTGGAAGAGGGCTTGATAGAAAGGCTTTTGGAGCTACAGAGGTCGGAATTGGGCGGCGATTTGATCGGACTGGGGAAACAAACGGCGGAAGAGAGTAGAGGGGTTGTCGCCGGCGGGGTCGAGGGAAGAGAAAGCAGAGAGAAGAGGTTCTTGGAGAGCCATCCATTTGCGAGCTGTGTGGCCAAGTTTGCAGTGCAATTGGAGGTTGGAGAGGGCTTGAGGAAGAGGGAGAAGAGAGCCATTAAGCCTGAAATTTTGAAGAGAGTTCGAAAAGCTTGCGTCTCTGATGCTGAAGCTGCCACTATAATTGCTGAGGTTCTGTGGGGTTCTAGTCCTTGATCAAACACTGTGAAGAATTTAAAGTTTGGGCTCGATCCTCAAATGGCGGAATGAAGAATCAGATGGGTAAGTTCGAAATCTTTTCTGGGGATGATATTGATCCATCCCTTGTGTCTCTTTGGATATATGGATGTAATAAATTCATGTTAGAACCTAATAAATTAAATCAGTGTAATTAATATAGTTGGTTTAAAAGGAATTGTGTAAAAAGGGGCAAACTTTTTGTTTTTCTTTATTTAAACGTGGGAGTTTTTTCCCCTTTTTCTTATTTAAAAAATTGTTTTAAATTTGTTATAGGGATGAGTTTAGTTTTAGACACATTTTATCCCAATCGAAAATTATTATATGATTCTAATGTTTCTCCTTTTTAGTTCACCTAAATGTCATCTACCATCGTCTTCACAACTATATATTATTGTTCACCACAATGATATATTATTATTCACGACTTTATTTTAGATTCCACTCAAAAGATCTGTACCAATTCAAACAAGACTTCAACAATAATAAATAAAAATTAATAATTTCTGATAATATATATTTTTATATTATTATAAAAAATGGTTTTTTGAGTATTGTAACAGGCTTAATATTAAAAATTGAGCCCAATCTGGCCCATTAACACAGCAGAGTATGGGCCCAATGTATTAGCCAATTTTTGTTCCACTTATTATTTTCTTTAACATGTATATAATTGATTTATAAATATTTATTAAAAATTTTGGAGTATAATGGATATTGTGAAATTGTTGAGCTTAAAAGACAGGTAAAGTTAGGGACTTCTATTTCTCTATAAAATAATAATAATAAACAAGCTCAGTATTGTAGAAATGTGTCATTTTAGTTTTAAGAAAAGAAAAGTTTCTAATGAGAAGAAAATAATATAAAAACTCAACTACCCAAATAAAAATTGAAAAAGTTTAAGCAATATTATAATAATAATAATTAGTCACATGTGAACTGCCAAAACATAGCATTAAAATATTCAGTTTTATAAGACAAAACTCAAATATATTTATAAATTTATTAAAAAGTATAAAATAAATATCGACATTTATTAGACATTATAATAATATTAAAAAATTTAAATAGTTAACGATTTTTTCTTGTTTTGGCAAATACTTACCGTTGGGAATTACGACTCTCCATAATGGTATGATATTGTACTCTTTGAACATAAGCTGCTTTGCTTTGGACTTCTCGAAAGAGCCTCGAGCTGCTTTGCTTTGAGCTTCCCCACATAGACTCATACTAATGGAGATAGTATTACTCACTTATAAACCCACTCCCAGTAATTCTCAACAATCCTTCTCTCGAACAAAGTACACTATAAGCCTCCTCGGAAGCTTATGGAGCTCTCGAATGGCCTTCCCTTAATCGAGGCCAGACTCATTTCTCTAGAGTTCTCGAATAAAGTACACAATTTATTCGACATTTTAGTTACTTTTGGCTACAACTTCAAGGCTCACCGTTCTTTGTTCGATATTTAAGGATTCTATTGGCATTAGTCAAGTTTATGGCAAGACTCTAGTACCATATTAGTAATGGACTCTTCTTCCTAAATTATACTAGACTCACTCTCAAAAATTCTCATCATGTAAAATTCAAAACGGCGGACGTGGCCAATAGTGCAAGACCACAGCTACTAGAAACTCACGGTCCATAGCCAAGATCCGCATAGAACACCGTCGACTACAACCGCCACCCGGAGAAGCTCAAATTCTCTTTTCACTTTTTAAATCCCTTTCAATTGCGCCGTATTTCAGATTCCGCGCTATGAAATGAGAACTGGATGGAAGGCGAAATCATTCGGTTTCAATATCGGAGCGGATCCTGAAATGGCGGGAAGAGAAAGATTAAGAAGTAAGTAGCAATTTCACCGGTTTAGTGCTTAGAACATGGAAATGTGACGAAGCCTCATGATCGGACAAAATGATTGAGTTGCTGTTCATCAATCATGGCTGTCACACCTGAATATGGATGGCGCCCTCCAGTTCCACATTTCTACGACTTCGTTGTTGTCTTGTCGTGTTCCGTATCTCCCAAACTTCTTTTTGGTCCTTTCCTTTCTTTTATATTCATCATTTTGTCATTAGTTTTTATCTTAAACCAATCCGATGATTGATAAGATTGAGCTGGAATTCCCCAAATTTGGTTTCGAATTCTTGTATCGTGCAAATGAATGTCGTTGTATCTTTTGAATAACTTTTCTTTATTAGTTAGACACTCTGATGAGGTTTCCATTATAATCATTTTTCATAGTGCTTATGCTTTATCAATTATATCATCCACTTAAAATGCCTGGTTCCGGGTCCCACAAAAGGAACATGAACGCATGGTTGGAGATTTGTCACTTTATTTTGTTGGCCTCTACTTTACTTTACGTTTTCTCTTTGAATGAGAAAATAACACTTTTTCTGTTTTCTTTTACCTGTTGTGCAAGCTATAGAAAGATGCCATGGTGGTATGTCCAAATCAGATATAATGTTCATTTGCATTACGGTTCTATCAGTGTGGATCTTTTCCAGCAATCTAAAACATTCATATTTATCTGTTACTATTGCTTTAAAGTATTGTTCCAGGTGTATGCCCAGACGCAGAGTGTTCTTGTTGAAGTTTTTGGCGTATTTGTGATTATAGTATGCCAAAAGATCATTGTGTTGTGGTGAACCTTGCTGGTGCACTAGATCAAAAGTGGATAAAGAGTTTCTCCACTTAGAAGAGCACGACTGGTTTTTGTGGGAGTATCACAAATCATTTATTTAATCTGCCATCATCGATTGCACGATAATCGACTGATGTTTACGTAGTTAAAAGTCCATGTTTTCCATAAACGGAGAATCTGACATGATGATTAGCTATTGTGGGAAAGTGAATGAAGGCATATAGATGCAAAAATAGCTCTACAGGAAGAAGTTTTTCATTCATTAATTGTGACGAAAATGTGTTGGAGATACAAGCTTGGGTTGCTTCTCATTCTCAGTGTCGTAGTCACGTGGGTTTCCTCTGCTGAAGTTACCCAGGTAAGTTTCTCTCTCGACCTTACATGAACTGGCATTCACATCCTGATTTTGAACTAATGAGGGAACGATTTAGATAGAGTTCATTTAGTTATTAATGTTAATTCAATTTCGTTACTGATCTGTTCTGTTCATATCATCCAAATACTGCTCATTGATTATCATAATGATACTCGGAATTCATGGTATATAATAATATAAGTGACAGACTCTTTGAGCTTCTATTATAGAGATAATTGCTAAAAAATAACTTCTGAGTTGGCTGATTTCGAGTCCAAATTGTGTTCCTGAGTCACTAGAAGCAGCTGGAATCATTCTTGACTTCTGGTCCAATGACCAGGAGGGTGGCTATCACTAGGCTCACATTACGGCTTTCTTTCAAACACAATTTAATTAGTAAATGAGAACCTAAATTGTTTTTGTTATCGTTTCTGCGAACCAAGATTCTTTTTGGAATGAAACTACCTGGTATATTAATTTATTGCAGTTGATTGATGCATACGGCATTCTCATCTTTCAACATGCAGTTGCATTGTTTGTATGTTACGTTCAGTATTTATTACTTGAATTCTCAATCTGGCTCATGCAGCAACTGACCAGCATGTTTTGACAGAGTATATTTGCAGATTATGAGCAACCGTTTGCAGTATCATATGTTACAACATCACTTTTGATAGTCTATCTTCCTATAGCATTCCTTAAGGACTGGTTAATGAGTTTTTTCTATTGCTGCAATTCTAAATGCGGCGATAATCTCAATGTGGTTTACCAGTCCTCCGTAGAGTTGCAGAAAGTTGAAGTGAATTTTGCTTCTGAAATAGAACATCAAGGGCAGTTAAGTTGTAAAAACTGTACCATAGACATGTATAGTAAGGATGAGGGAACACCGTTGGTGGCTGTACATATAGATAAAGAAAACACACTGAAAAGAGACCGAAAGTTCACTGCAAAGGAAGTTGCTGCTTTTGGCTTTTGCATTGCTCCTATCTGGTTTTTAACAGAGGTGAGATACTGATTTCTTGATTTTTAATTTCTAAGAATATTCTCATGAGCTAACGCATTCCCTTGGAGGGCATGTATTTGATTTTTTTTTTCTTTTTAATTTGTGATTAAATAAGATACTAGTTTGTATACCTTCAAAATTTATCTTTCTTATCAATTTATGGTTTCGAACTTTATAATTTGAGACATAAATGTGGTCTGTAGTATCACCAATGTTATGAGAAGATATTTTCTAATATTATGGCTTTGTTCTATATTAAAAGATGAAGTGCATTATCATGAGTCCTGTTAGCTTTTAGTTTCATTAAGAAATATGTAATTAATTGATGTTAGAAGAGGAAAGAAAGAGAACGTTGATAGTGGACGAGATGATTTTAGAAACAACCCCAATATCATTTATCAATAATTTTTATATCACCGAAAGGTCTCCAAAGTGTTACAATGGAACATTATTTATTGAATATTAATAGATCTTGATGAAATTCCAAGTAAACTAGAGTTTTAAATATTTTAGAGTAGACCTCAATATGACTCAAAAACATTAGATAATTTTATTTTCTCATTTAAGAAAGTAATCAGACAGAGAAAAATTCAATATATGGTCAGGTTATGACTTACAAAGTTGAAAATTATTGTATGTCTGCAGTATTTAACAAATGCTGCACTTGCTCGAACAAGCGTTGCAAGTACCACATTGCTATCCTCCACTTCAGGGTTGTTCACTCTTTTGATTGGTGCATTGCTGGGTGAAGACACAATAAATATAGTCAAAGTTGTCTCTGTCGTTGTTAGCATGGCTGGTGTTGCGATGACAACGTTTGGGAAGACTTCAGCTGCAGATGAATTACAGAAAAATGGAAATGGGTATGTCAATTCTCCTCTGTTTTGGTGAATCATTTAGATCATTCTTGTGTTCTAAAATAAATGGTGGCATTGCCAAACATTTTTATCAAATTTTTGTTTTAATCTTGATGAAGTAAATGGGTACAACTGTCTTCAGAATTGAAAATAATGCACTTCTGGGGAATGTATTTTCAGTTCTCTCATCAATGACTTATGGCCTATTCACTGGTTAGATATCCGAACTTCTCTTGTGACAAGCAGTTGATAACATATCGACTGCAAAGACATATTTTCCATATACTGATTCATTTGTACATTATGTCCCGGATGCTGCAGTGCTTCTCAAAAAGTTTGCTGGAGGAGGACAAAATTTAGATATGCAAAAGTTATTTGGCTGTATAGGACTTTTCACCTTTGTTGCTCTTTGGTGGCTAGGTAAGGGTAAAATTTTCTCTAGTTTAACGACCAAATGCCTGATTAATTAATTGATTTATTATTATTGCTGTTGTTGTTGTTGTTATTTATCAAGTTTCACTTTTATTGCCTCTCTTTTAGTTTTATTTACAATTATTTTTCTGGAGGGGAAGGAGGCATTATGGAAGGATATTTCCGATCATAGTTGCATCTCCTCTGTTCTAATGGAAGAAACATTTTGCTTCGTACATATATACTATCAGACACAATTTTTATTAAACATTTTGCACAGCATGTTTCCGCATTAAGGTACAATTTCAGGGAGGGTATAAAAACCCATAAACTTGGTCCAAATATATCTATCAGTAATGTTGTACCTTTAGAAGAATCATGCTACATATTTCCAATCCTAAAGAAGAAGGAAAAAAAAAAAAAAAACTACTTACATCGTGTATTAAATACTTTCAATTTCCCTCTCTTCAGTGTGGCCTTTGACTGCCATGGGCGTTGAACCCAGATTCGTGTTCCCTCACTCTGCTAATGTGGAAAAAGTTATACTTGTCAATGCTTTTGTTGGAAGTTTTTTGTCCGATTATTTCTGGTAATCACAGAGGCAAGCCTTTGGTTTTAGATCTTCTAAATTCATTTACGTTTTGTGTACAGCATTTAATTATATGTGTCCTGATTTACAATTTTATGGTACACACAGGGCTTTGGCTGTTGTTTGGACTTCTCCTCTGGTAGCTGCTCTTGGTGTTTCCCTTACTATACCTGTTGCAATGTTGGAGGATATGATCATCCATGGCCGGCAGTATTCGGCAATTTACATCATTGGGTCAGCTCAGGTAAGCAATTTGATTCCTTCAAATAACTGAAATGGTGAATTATCTTAATTTAACCCACATATTACAAGTTTGCTGAATAGGACTTCAATTTTGAACCATTGGATGAAAACTATCTTTTCTTTTTGTTGTAGATTGTGACACTAGTCCTGTATTTGTTCTGTTTTGTATGGTTTTCTTGAGGTCTATTAGTGACCTCTACTTCAAATTTTAGTGCAAGTTTGCAATCAGGGTTAGGATCAGGGTTAGGATCGCACAACAACGCACACACTCGATCTAGATGAACACAAAGAACAGGACGCACATACTCGATCTAGATGAACATAAAGAATAGGATAGAGAAAATGTAAAGAGAATATTGGCTAAAGGATTTGTATTGATGACTCAAAGTATGTATAGTATGAGGGAATAGAGAAAGTACATTTTCAAAGCCGGGGATATATATAGTTAAGCTTGCTTACTATATACAGCCTTACCAATATAACTATCTACATAATATTAGCTATTAGCTATTTAATGAGAATTTACCTTATATGTCATTTACCATACATAGTTTTACTATGTATAACCGTTGACTAAGCTATAAATAAGCATTTTACTAATTGCCACTTACAATGTAATCCCCTCGACTATTAATTGCCACTTCAATAACATTATCTTTGTTTACCATTATAACTTATTTAATGGAATAATTTAAGGCCACCCTTCTTTTTCATATCCTTTCCTCTCCTTTTCTTTTCCTTTGACAAAACTAGTAATCCAATATTGAGAATTAGACCGTAGAGAAAGAACGAGAAGATAATGACTTATTTACTTTATTAATGTCAATATATAACTACACCCGCTGAAAATTTAGAGAAAGGATTTAAGTGTAAAAAGCTCATTGTATAAGTATTTAGTAGATCTTAGTCACAAGGGTTGGGGCAAAAATTCTTTAAAAAAAAAAAGGAAGAAGAGAGAGAGCGAGGGTTGGTCGGAAAATTATAGATGACTTTGAGACTAAAGATTTTATTTTCAAAAAGACAAACTGAAAGAAGTACACAGAACAGTGATCATTTGAGAAACATAAACAGTCGCGGAGAATTTGGAAAAGTTCTTGTTGGAAGTCAGAGACAAAAAATTACTGTTTTACCATACATCCAAAAATTTAGTAAAGGGCTGCTACCATATGATTACCACATCAAATAATTGTTCTCATTATATGTCAGGGAAAATTAACAATTGTTCGTTACTTTGAAGTGTTGAGTACTGAAATTTTGATAAAATTTCAGTAAAGGGACGTTCCCTATATTCTCATTCATACGATTTTTACTAAATCATGGAGTTGATTTCTTGTTATAGGTATTCTTGGGATTTGTAGTAGCAAATATTTCAGATTGGTTCTCTCAAAATTTGGCGTCCAAGCTCTCAAGAACAACTTCTCAACTGCAATCAATTTCTTTCTGGCCTATGTGATATATGTTTTGTACATTTCTTTCAAAAGTGAATTTTCTCTGATTATGTTGCAGAAACGCTTGAGAATGCAATGTATATTGTCCCATAATTCTAATTTCTAGAAAGGAATGGCCATGGATTCATAATCTTTTCCGCCTGCTTTGGTTGACAGAATATTGCCCATGCAGTGGTGTTCTTATGTTAATCGGTCAAAAGCTTTGGCGAAGACATTATTATTCCCTGTTAGATCATAAGTTGAATTATTTGCAATGAAATTTGATATTTTAACTTCTTCAGTTTCTGGAATTCCCTGTTGATTGGTCTTTACATGAAACAGGTCTTGTTTTGATGCAGTTCTTTGGACTTATACCATGAGACAAAATGCCTTTTAGCAACTTATGGTCAAGGCAAGGAAGCCGTCTCTAACAACAGAACGGGTTCTTCTCTCTAAGTGTTTAGCAGACATTGGATGTTACCAACGGGCTAAAACATATGTCATCGACTAAAAGGTAAAAAATTCGAATCCCGCTTGTGTATGTTGAAATTAGCTTTTATCATTCTTAAATATTATGAAGCGGTGTGAGGTGGTTGAGACAAACAAGATATTTAAACTTCTTTCTTATTTTCTCCTTGTACCAATAGTTGTCAAGGAGGAATTTTATATATATATATATATATATATAGATTTTGGTTTGTTCCAAAAATGGAAAAAGAAAAAAGGGGAAATAAAAGTCTGAATGGTCTATTAGTTACTAATATTTGACAAAAACTTATCTTTCTATGGAATTGTGTAGTCGAATTTCTGCAAAGGTTAATAATTTCCCCATGGATTCTGATTTAGTAGAGCACTGTAATCAAATCATTTACGCTTCTTTATTTTCTTGTGTTGAAATAAATATCATATATGCTTCTGTTCTTGATTCATATTTGATTTTTAGCATTTCTTTAAATTTCAAAAATGATAATTACATGATTGGCTGAAGAAAATGAGGAGTCCAAATGCAAATGACTTTGTAATTGTTGAGACTAACTTTAGGAGTCCATAGGAAATTTGTGGCGAAAGGCTTTTTAACATAGCAAATTAGGTAAGAAAAATCGATTCTGTGTTGTCTTTGTTTGTGTGTGCAAAAATCTGCATTCATTTCATTTCTTTTATTATATTATCTTTTTTTTATTAAAATATTTAATTTTAGTTTTCCTACTTTAAAAGTTCTTGGTACTTTTAAAAAATCTTAAAATTAGTTTTTTTTATATATTTTTTTTTATGTTAGTTTAAAGTTTTTTTTTTTATTGAAATTAGTGAAATAGTAATAATAATTTCTTTTTGAAAAAGTTAACCAAAAATTAATAACTATTTTAAAGATTTATAAAAAGAAAGTAAATATCACAAATTATCTGCAGCTTTTTTTGATATAGAAACCCCAAGCTTTTGATTCTCACTTTTTCACTTTGACCAAACTCTTAAATTGGCATCAGCTTCTTTTCTTCTTCTTCTTTTTTTTTTTTTTTTTTTTTTTTTTTTTTTTTTTTTTTTTTTTTTTTT